AATACTTAGCATATCACAAAATGTTAAAAACTGAAGTATACTGTATTGTACAAGTATTGTGATAATATCGTATCGTGGGGTGATTCCCGCCTCTAGTAGCTTCCAGGTTTGGTGAAGCCACCAATGCAAAACTGCCTTGAGTCTGCACTTAGTGGACACTTTCCTGATGACTTCATGGACTCATCGCTTGATTCATGTTATTCAAAGAACAACATTAAATCCATATTAGAATTTTGATCATTCTAAGAGTCTGAAAGGAGTATTATCTACGGTATGCTCACTGGCTTGTGACTGACCAGTTCTTAGCCACTCGGAATACTGATTTCACAATCATATCCATCCTTTATCAGTAACATCTGGTTTAACAACATCAAGATGACCACGGTGAAAACACTCATCCCAAGAAACTGATGAGTTACATGAGGGCAACTATGTCCATCTTACTATGTTTCTGCACGGTAAACGGGAAACCGCCAAAAACTGCAGTTACTTGAATTGCCATTTGGGGCTAGTTCAAAAAGCGAGTCAATCACCAATAATTCTAATATTAAAATTTCCAACTTTAACAGGAGAAATAAACAGGTTTGCAGCCTGGTACAATTTTTTTTACAAAGAGTGAATTTACAGATTGACTGGCTTTAGTCCATATGTAAAATTCCTGCAGTCAGAAAAATCCATCAGAAGTACAACAAGAGGTAAACTTCACATCATCCTTTCCCTTCCTACCTCTAAACCTTTAATACCCCCAGTTCTCCCTGATCTCCATCAATCAACCCCTTTGCTTCCTTTAACTCTCACATTTAGTGCAAAGAGGCTCCACTGTGCTGCCTCCCTCACGTGTTTCTGTGCTGTCAACACTTTCTAAAGATAACACCTCAACTTCACCCCCACCCCACTCATCAGCCACGATCCACAACAACTCTTCGACTGTGACAGAGGCAGCTAAAATTAACCCTTAAACAAAGGGTTCTGGGCAGGCCGCGTGATGGACCGACAGAAGGGATGTGAGTGTAGGTGCAAGTCTGCACAAGCAGATATTAAAAGTTAAAAGAACAACTGAAAGAGACAGTGCAGCAGTTGAAAGTATAAATAATGAGGTTCGGGCCACAACTTCTTAACCTGAAGCTGAGGACAGTGAGGACACCCACAATGCATAAAAATAAACAAAACAGCCTGATTTCCCAGCGGGGTTCAGGCTGGAGACGTTCAGAAGACCTGGATCATTAAAATGCCACAAGGGCCTCTCGAGCGCAGACACAGTGCTTACATCAGCAGTCAAAGTAACGGCCTTGCTGACCATGTCAGTGTGTGTTTCTGTTCATGTACCAGGGAAAAATTCATTAACTCACAAACATAATCACACTTTGACTCACACAAACTCCCACCGTAGAGCTGCTTTAATCCCAACCGGCACGCCTGCATGTAATTCAATCTATCCGCAGAAAAGCCAAGAAATGCCCAAGAATGCTGCGTTTCTCTTAGTCATTCAAACTTTTCTCATCCCTGTAATCTTGAAAGAAGATCACTGGATGACTGAAGGAGATGTATCCAACATTTAGCCTCAATACAATGACGTTTAGATCTTTGCTAATTGAACCTAGAAGGTCACGAGACCGGTAAGATTAGGAAAATCTGTAAAGAATGGAGCATTTCATGCATTGCAATCATAATACACGCACAGCTTTTCAGTCACAAACATTTCATTTTGCACGTAATGTGCATCCTTGAATGCAACGTGATTTTTCATTTAGCGGACAGTTTGCTGTCCACCACTCGGAGGATTTGAAGGTTAAGGCCTAGAAAGATTAGAGAACGTTAAACGGGTGGATGAGTGGACAGCTGAAGCGACACTGAGTGATGGGGGGTGGACAGCAGATCTTTAAAGTGAATAGACTGCTGTGACACGCTTAAGCTATCTGCTTGTATGTCTGTTTAATGCGGCAGAATTACACACTGCCACTTCCAAATATCAAGTCCCGTGCAGATTTAGTCGTTGCCCTGCATCTGTGCCGTGCTAACTGAAATCTGGATTGCGGTCAGCATAGTAAACAAACTCTATCATCGCACGTTGGCACTGGATGAAAATAAGCGATGCCCTTCAAAATAAAATGTCTCTGCATTGATGATGGCGATGCAACTTTTTCTAATAAGAAGCTGTTTTTCATTTTATGCGTAAAGGGACAAATAAATATAGCCCGGCGCTGTTTTTTCTCCAAACCATGGGAAGATCCCTCATGACGGCTGGATGTGTGGGTGTGTGTATTACATGGTCATGGGTGTGAGAGAAAGATTTAGCTTACATCAATCCTCAGTGCATTCACTCAGGCCCATCAGAGGATGAAGAAAAACACTGTAGCAGCTTTACATCTGTAAGCAAACAGCAGTTTATATGTTCGCAGCAGATGGCTGCAGATCCGGGTCAGTCCTCATCCCTTTCAGAATGAGCCCGTCTGTTTCCAACAGCCCTCGAGCCTAAAACTTTCTTTAGAGGACAGCAACTATACATCCATCATAATCTACTGAAAGGAAGTGGTTTAAGGGAAAGTGAGAGGATGAAAACTGCAGTTTGCAAAAAGAAAACTTCATCTAATTACAATCTAATCACTATAAAAGGTGATCAAATGCAGCCAAATCTCTAACAGGTCCATTTCAGAATACTTTTTTTAAACTATTTTTAAGACAGTAAAAAAATGCCCCATATATACAAGAACTATATTTTTTGTACCCTTCCTAAGCACTGCTTAGACTGACCTTTCACCTCATTAACATCTCGGCCGGTGTTGATTCTAGGATCCAGAATTAGCTCTGCTATCACTGGCATGAAGAGTGTTGACCAAGTAGGAAAAAGTCACGGAGGAAATGGGTGAAGAAGGACACACCCCGGGGAGAGAAAGCATGATAGAGTGGGATGATTTTAATGGAGGGTTTTCCCTAACAAAACGTAACCACAGCGCTAAAGTGTTTCAGTGTAGTGCCTCAGCCAAATGAAAGGAAAAAACACAATCCCAAGAGTTCTCCACTGCTGTGGACAGAAAAGACACTGATAGGGTACAAACTACTGACTAGGAAATTGCACATTATTCATCTCTATACTCTCTTGCTGCCTTATAAGTTTCTAATAACAGCGATCCCCAACCCCCGGGCCACAGGCGGGTACTGGTCCGTGAGTTGTTTGGTACTTGAGCTACAGTACCAAGGCTACATCCACACGTACACGGGTATTTTTGAAAACGGAGATTTTCCGTTTTCGTTTTAAAAAATAATCCCATCCACACGTAAAGGCAGAAATGAAGGAAAACGCTGCTAGGAACATGCCAAAGCAACAGGTGGCGATATATTCCTAACCGTGCAGAAATGTTGGCCAATCAGAAGTCTAGAAGCCTCGGTGGGAAATAGTAAACAAAGATGGGGCATATAAGCAGAACCGAGTCTTATGTGTGGAGGGACAGTAACTGTGTGTGTATATGTAAGCATTTAAACACTGCAGAGAGTACAATTAACAGTAATAGTATTGTAGAAATTCATTTCACCGAAACAATAACGTGGCGCACAGTGTGACGTCAAAAAATGCACACACCTTTGACGCTGCATTTTCTGCGTTTTCTCCGTTTTTTCTCGTCCACACGTAAATGCAAAAACGGAGTTTTCAAAAATATCCACCCTGGTCGGAGTTTTTAAAAATCTCCGTTTTCAGTGACCAAAAACGCCGTTTACGTGTGGACGAAAGGTGCAAACGCATAGAAAAATCTGCGTTTTCAAAAATACCCGGGTACGTGTGGACGTAGCCCAAGATTTGTAACATTTATAAGGTGATTGTTTAAATTATTCCCCCCCCAAAAAAAAAGTTTTATATCATCACCATCATCATCATTGTGTTTTACGTCAATTCAAGCCTGAACTCAAGAAGTGTTGATCTGATGAGCAGGAAAACTGAAAAATAGGCCAGAAACAGCCTGTTAGGTGTAACTCCACAATACCTCAGTTAGCAGGTGTGTAGCTACACCCAGATCTATCAATGTCTACAGATGGATGACTAAGCAGAAATTTAACACTGTCAAAAAAGCTGTTTTCTTCTGTTTGAGACCCTAATCACAAGTGACCGTCAGCGGAATTCATGTTCATAAAAAATTAAGCTGAAATCCATTCAATAGTTCTCAAGAGATTCAAATAATGACCTGGTAGCATTAAATAAGTTAGCTCTCAAGATCTAACATAAATGATGTGCACGTTCCTTGTCAGCAACACAGAAGATCCGGTCTGATTATATTGGCAAAGCACAAACAAGCTCAGTGGACCAGATAAGGTTTGTAGGCTCATCTTAGCTGCCTCTGCCACAGAGATGTCCCTGTGCTTACTCTCCTCTCGTGCCCCTCCTTTGCGTTTAATCTCATAACTTTCTCTTCAGACTTAATATTTGAACTTTACTGCTGTTATCTTTTTTCTTTTTTTTCTTTTTTTTCAAAACACTTTATTTAAGGTATACAAAATTACATATAGAATTTACATACATATACAAAACCATGATCACATACTACTCATTAAGGAAAAAGGAATCAAGGAGGAAAGTCGAGCATCTGAGTTCACAAAATGTCTTTTTTCCACCCTCTCACATAAAGTGAAAGTCACACCTATCTCCCTGTTGTTTTTCTCCCCGTATAGCAGAGATGAGTCAGGAGCATCACACTGTGACGACTTCACCAGAAATCAGAAGCTTCTCTGCAAAAAGGCTCACACACGGCAATGTTTTTTTTCTCAGCGTGTCAAAAGATGTGGCAAAAATATGAAATTGCCACGTTAAATTTAGAGAAGTTTCACACACACCAGTCAATCCAGCTTCCAAGTGGGCGGTTTCGGGTTTGAAGCGTACCACTTGGAAAACCCTGGGACGGTCATTTAAAGGGGGGTTGCAATGCGCTCTTAGGCTCGCTGGTGCATCTGACGGCATGTGCATGTGTGTTTCCAGGGAGAAATGTGTTACAAACATGTGACACAGTACTCACCAATGCAGGCGTGGACGCGGACTGTCAGCTGGGTCCGTAAAATAACGCTGTGCTTCTTCCCTCTGGACCTGAGAGACATTGGAGGGAGGAAACAAGAGAATTAAATTTGAGTCAAAACTAAGTTGTCTAAGTTTTGTCTCTTCCTTGATAGCCAAAAACAGCTGACATGATGAGACTGATGCACACAAACGTGGGCGTGCATTACATTTATACCCCCATATTGATACACATCTGATTCTTTTCAGACAGCAGAACTGCAGCAGACATAACAGGCATTTTCACAAGTGCGCACCTCCGCGTGGCATCGTTCCCATGAGCAAACACTCATAGGAACCCTATTTTCAGTGGGAAGGCACACAAATGTCAAGATAGCATAGCATAATATTGTACTTTATCTGTTATACCCTTACCTCCTAATCGCTAGGAACTAATCAGCGACTTCAATCATTAACAAACTGATACCATCCAGCCCACGCAGGGAAAGCATGACTCTGATAGCATTTACCGCTGGAATTATGCATAACATGCTCTTAGGAAAAAACAGTCAAACAAGAGAGCACCTGGCCTCTAATCCTTCTATTACAATGTTATCAGATTTGCTAGGAAATAGAGCAAAATGTTAACACAATATTTGAGATGCGAACAAACACAAATTCATTTTTCTTTCTTTTCTGGTAGTCTGTTGAGAATGGCAGTCAAAGCAACTGAACTGTGGGAGGAAAGTTAGGCTAGCATGAAACACATAGTGGTGTGGGTTGTTTGTGGGCACACAGTTTAACTATATACTGACTTGTCAGTCACTAGGTAGGCCCACTCTAAAGTATTCCCATCATTAATTTTGTTGATTGAGCTTTAACATCAAGTTGCCATAAACAAGACTTAAATCAACGGTCGAGATGGTGAAGGCAGTTTCCTGAGGTTCTCTGTCAGAAGCTTCCACTTTCTGGACTTCCAGTTTCATTGGGGCATTGAGATAGTCCAGAATAAATGAGTCTCCTTTTTTGGGTCATTAACCCTGGAGAACCCATGCCATGGGGTCAGAGCCGACCCCATTGGTTTTCTAGGGAAACCATGGGGTCAAATTTGACCACCATGGGTTTTCCAGGGTCAATGGTCTTCTGGGGGAAAAATGTGGCAATAAAAAATCATCATGGAGTTGAAAGAAATGGAGTGACTGCAAAATATTGACTGAAAAGGTGTAGCTTGAAGCTTTAGCTTATTACATCCACCCTTTTTACATTGAAAAATCTAACTGGCAACACTTTTATAACTAGATTTTACCAAACAAAGACCAAATCACCAAAGAGAAACTAATGCTTCATAAACAATCAGTCCTTAATTTTATACCTAGTTAGCTGTATACCTAGTTAACATATTAGTTTCATTTTATGCAGTTGAAACAATAGATACAGTTCCAATTTTAGTTTTTTACTTCTTTTTTTTTTTTACAGATTTCGATTGAAATAAAACACCTTTGGATAAGTATTAGGGACATCACAGTACCGTGGGCCACTTTGGAGCTGCTGCCAATTTTATTTTACACACAGGCAGCAAAAGCAGAAACTTCAAGCTTCTTGACCACAGTCACCTTCAGACACCACAACCAGCTGCATCTTGTACGCACAGGTAAATAAGTGAATAAGCTACACTTGTAACGTCTGAGGTCTTTTTGCAACCACACACAATACAAAAATTGGACATAAACAGCTTCAGGATCTGGAAAACGCAAAGCAACGCAAAGTGTGTTGAACCTGCCTTCTTCTTCATGGCCACCAGTGGGCAATACTCATGGTGGAACTTTCTTATTTCCCAATGAGTTCATGGGCTCAGTCACTCATTTCAAGTCATACTGACAAAAAAGAGAAGTCTTTTATGAAAATCTCGGCCATAATACGTTTCAGAAATATCATCCAGGGTGCAGTCATTGGCTAATGATTTGTGATTAATGAGACATTAGCCATTGAGCTAATGTTTCAAAACAGCAAGATGACAACATCTAAAACATTCATCTTGAGACTTCACAGACTAACATTTAATGTCATGGCAACCATGTCCACTTTTTATACCGCCTTTCTTTGCAACCAGGGAACTCGCCCCCTGTTGGATGTTAGAAGAATGTAGATTTAAGGCACTTCTATATTGCCTTCACTTTTCAGACTCATGGAAGCTACAGTTAGAACAGAAGCAAAAGTTATGGACCTAACTGTACATCCTTCTTTTATACACAGTGGATGCCTGTGATTGACATAAGTATGATATGTTGAAGTCAGGCGTAAAGGGTTCAAAGGGAGATTCCTTTGCATCACAAGCTACAGCCATCTACAGTGACTTCCAGTGGAAGCAGAGCAATTATTGTCACCCGAGGGCTTTGTTTACTGTAAGCTGTGGTAAGCACTGTCCTGCCATAGCTGCAATCACAACACCATCTTTGATGTGTGGAAGCATAAATTCAGCTAACATCAATGTGCTCTTTAGAAACCTGCAGATATTTTTAGTGATAGAGAAGTTTCAGTTTTCTGGATCAGTTATTTAGTAAAAACTACAGGAAAAAAAAACCTTTTCTCATTATTCTATAAAAGATATTGTATATGTGTGACCAGCAGACTTTATGGTTATTTATAAATTAAAACTGTTATTGTGGGATTATAGAGGTTGTGGCTGATAACTATGTTAAATGGATCCATCTAGTCAATCCTGATATCCACTGCTTAAAGTTTTTATTTCCCAGATGCTGTTAAAGGGAACCATTGTGTTATCATTATGCTTACAGCTCTTGAATTCTACTGCAGGAGTTTTCTGTGATTCATAATTGCACCTTTTTATCCCATGCTGGGCCTTAATGCAAGTAAGGTTCAACGTAAGATCAAATGCAACTTAGCCAAGTTTCTTCTGATTGGCAGACCCTCACAAACAGAAGGTTTGAACAAGAAGTGGGCAGGGCTTCTCACCTAAGATGACCATATTAGGGGTATCAACCCTCATTGACATCATACAGCTGTCTGAAGCTTGACCTTTTTGCTCACACATATCATTTGCATGTACTGACCTCATTATTTGAAACTCTGTGCATTCAGCAATGTAACAGTATATACTTAGTATGACAGAAAAATATGTTAACGCATTACAGAGCCTATTAAAGCACATGTTAAAGGTACGCTCTGACATTGGTTGGGATTAATTTAGTCTTTTATAACACTGTATAGACAGCTTTCATTGTGCAGAATGAATTTAGAAAGAATTCATCCTCACCCTTTGTGACATTTCGCCAAGACGAGGTCAAACCCAAACCAAAAACGCATGATTCATTTCTTACTGTCAGCTCATTATGACCTCGGTTAAAGCCACAGTTTGATAGAATGACTGACAGAACTGTCCAATCCAACCAGTTCCAACACAAACGAGCCTTTCTTCGCCTATCTGTCATCTGTCATATGGCTTACTGAGCGCACAAGAAAGATACACACATTTGAAAACAAATAGATCGATATGCACATGGAAACAACCACTTATAATAAACACAGAGACTAACAAGGCTCTGGGGTCTGCCATCACTTATCAGCCAGCCGCCCCCAGTCCTAAACAGACTGACATACCTACACAAACGTACATTGTCACACACATGTGCTGCTGCTTAACAGCTGCCTTCTCCGTGTGGCGGTCAGAGCTCTTTGTGTATAAACGGCTTTGAGCCAATGTTTGCCCGTTTGTGTTACAGCTAATTAGCTAAAGTTACAAGGACTGATCAGCTAAGCAACTGTTTATACTCGCTTTTTTTAGATGAGTCTCGGGCAATCAGATCACAAATGAACAGCGCTAAAGGCAAGTATAAAGACGAGACCACCAAGACACATTGCGATTGTTCAAACCACTTCCCGAGGTGGTCTGGGGAGCCTTTGACCACATATCCTGTGTAGCGCAAATGCTAAAGTGTCCTGATCAATCCCCAACTCTGGCATAACAGGAAATTTATTCGTGGTGGTCCTGTTTGGTCTGGTTCTGCACCATCTTGGGTGCCACAAATGACTTTGTCCTAACAAAATAACCAGGAGGAAGAGCTAGGACAAACGTATCAGTTCTTGAAATACTTTGTTTTCTTTGCTAGCCCTTTCTTAAACCAATTTAGAGCTTATCTGGCAACAGATTGACGTAATAACTCCCACATAATCACTTCTGTTAGTGAGAGAGTAGGGAGATCTGACCACAACAGACACTTGAAAGCCCCCAACGGCTACCAGTGAGCCAGCGAATGTGGAGTAATCATGCTACAATAATGGTATAGCATTGACAGCATTCCTAACTTTAATTTGTTCTATTACCTAATTTCAGGATTTTCCAATTTAACTAGCTCTATTAATTGATATTAACAAAATATAGTCACTGTTTACATTTTTTTGAGTTACTTTTGCCTTCATATCAACTCAAAGCAGTTTGGCCGTTCTACTCTGACCTCTCGCATCAAAAAAACATCTTCACACAGAGAACTGCCGCTCACGGGATATTTTCTCTTTTTCAGACCATTCTCTGTGAACCCGAGTGACGGCTCTGTGGGAAAGTCAGCAGTTTCTGGCAAAGACAAAGTCACTTAAATCTTCTTCATCCCCATTCTAAAGCTCAGTTTTCATTTCAGCGGGTCACGTTGACCATCTCTACTTCTCTAAATGGGCGAATAAGAAGTTGAACAGCTGTACCTAACATAGTGGCCAGTGAGTGTAGCTGGAAGCCACAAAGACAGGATTGCATAATAATGTTGGACTCAAATTCAGGTTTTGGTTGTAACTTGAATCCTATACAAATATATCCGATGTTGAACCTTAGTTGCTGGTGCTAATATGCTAGCCTCAGGCCCTGAGGTTTTCTCACAGTTTTTAATTGCAGACACTGGCCACCTATCAGAGAAGAAAACTGTTTCCATTTGCAATATGAAAATTAGCACACTTACATGACCTAAAACAATACCATTCAGAGGAATAGGCGGAGAGATGCTAGAGTGCCAGGAAAATTACATGTTATGGGATTTACAACAGATCCAGGGTAGGTTTGCTGTAGCCTAAGTGACACGCTAACACAGTTTAAGGAATAAAAAGAAAACCAGGGACTGAAGTAACATTCATTATAATGGAAATCATATGCTTGTCAACACTCATGAGCCACATAAGAGTTTATGAGTTTTGAACAATAGCCAAAGCACATAATCTAAGGTGATTAACATATTAAATATTCAATTTTCTGGGTGTAATCCTAATCCTGATTTACTGAGATGTCCAGCCAGGAGGTTTGATAGAGGTTTCAAAGCCCTTTTACAAAGTCATCACACCGTCGTCTCTACATTCAAGCTGTAAACTGAGAAATACTGTCACAAAGAAGACGAGAATATTTATCATACAATGGGAGAATAGCTGTTGCTGTGGAAGGGAGGGCACACGTGTCCTGCTTTCCAGAGTGCTTCATACTTTCCATGAACTTGCGCTTCCAAGAAATCCATATCCAACAGCTTGTGATTCTCCCCATTTTATAAGAATGAAGAAACTCAGAAAATATGTGTACGTGTATGAGGGGGGAGAGGGCGCGGGGGTCTCGCTGCTTTAGATATTTTCAAGTGGTGAAGAGAGAGAGACTGTTTGGTATAAAGGGTACATGAGTCACTCTCACCCTGTGTCGTCCTGCTGAAAGCCCTCCAGCTCGTCCCTTTGCTCAGCCAGCGAGGACTCCAGATCCAGATAGGTTCCATTGTGGGACAGCTGAAGTGCACAGTCATCAAGCTATGGGATGGCAGAAACAAAATATACAAAGTTAAAGTAATAAAGGAAATACAACAAACGTGTCACTCTGCACACAGGGATGACCCATTGGGCTCCCTTTGTCTAGCGTCCCTTTACTATGTATATCCATGATTCACACCCCCTTTAAAAAAATAAAACAAGAAAGAACAACACTTTGAGCCTGTAAAATAAAGCCAGTTTATGGGGCAGGGGTTTGAACACAAGTGCACACAGTGGTCTGTGAAGGGGTGAGAAGCATTTGCAGGGTGCCTCTGCTTTCTGCATTAAAAAGCTGTTAAGGGAGTTAACTCGTAATAAAGGCCGCAGAACATGAAACCAAAACCAGAGTGGAACACAGCAACGGAACGGCACATTTTATTGCATTAAATACTAGCTGTGAAAAATATAACTCTCAGCTCGGCTCTATATGTTCGTTGAGCGAGCACAGCCTTGCACATGTCCAAGTATTCGCGCTGGCAATTGATGACTTTCTGAGTTTTTTCACTTCTCATCCACCTCGCCTTCATGCATTTGCATGATCTAAGGTAACACTGCAGAGCGGCCTTTGTCAGAACTGACCCCCTGTGCTGTGTAAGAAGAAACCCAGCTGAGTTTGCGACCAGGTGCACAGTAATATATCAACCCGCCACTGGCACCAATGTTTATGAGTACGGTCACGGGTCGATAGCAGGTGGGAACATCCGTCCCAGAGACAACTCTTAAAAAGCAACTTACGTCATTAGCTCGCAACAATCGGCTCTGAGTTTTTGCAACTGCTTCCTGAAGCTGCTGAAGTACGAATAAGTGAATGAGATCAGAGTCACGCATTGGTATGTAGCAGCTCTGTGGCATCAGTGGGTTTAACTTAGATTGGCCTCTGGTGTGCTGCCAAATCCACACCCACCCACCCGGACAATCCATTCAGGCTGTGTGACGACACTTTCTGACCACAGATCACAAGACCTGCTGCTGCTTTCTGTCCATTCCTCCCTTTCAGTCCTAAACAGAGAGACGGACTGTCGCATGGACTCACAGCATAAATATAACCTTGCTATATTTACTCTCCTCTGAGGCAGCATGCACACTGGAGCTCAAGAGTGGGTGTGTCTATGGGGGCAGGCAGCACTGCCTGAGCTGAAGTATTGGAAAGGGGAACCTAAGAAGCAGCAGGTTAGCATTATTTAGGTAATCCCAGAAACATAACAGTTGATAAGGACAAGGTGTCAAACCTTTTAAGGCTGAAGGATGACATCAGTGTGGAAGTGCCAAACGCTGCAGTTGGCCATTCAAGGCTGCCTCCCAAAGCAAGTACACTCATGTGATAAAATATTTATAATAGTATTCTACGGATAGTTTCCCCCTTCATGACAATTCTGCATTTTTTTGTTTTTTTTCCTCATCTATCTGGATATTTGAGTTAGGGGCGTGGCCACATTGATTGACAAGTGTGCCAGAGCCTGCCTGGCCTCATCCAGCACTCCAAGGCACTGGGTTGGAGTTCTTCACTGCGTGCAGGCTGTTGGTCCCTCTTGGAGGATTTTCAAACAGAATACGTAACTTATATTAAGACTTGTTGTGCGATGTACAAAGAAACAGTTTGCCCACTCTACCCTCTCATCTACCCTCTCATCCACCCTTTCATCCGGTGGTGGAGAACAGCGCTAATGCTAACAAAATCCAAAACCAGGGACTGATATCATGGTGGCTATGTCCCTGCTTTATACTGTCCATGACAGAAGCACATAGTGTTTTTTTAAAGTTTAAAAAAAAGTTAACTCTAGCACAGGCACCATGCTAACAATAGGTTGGCATGGTAACGTGCTACTTAGCAAACAATGCATTACTTTGACAGAGTTTAACCACTGTGTGGAAATTTTTAATACCAACGCTGGTGTTGGTATTGGGTCGATACTTTGCTTCTATCCTTCTATTCTAGCCCACTGAACTGTGTTAAAAAAATGTAAAGGTAATTTTTTTGGAAATGAAAAAAATATATAAATAAACTTTTAGACAGGTACATTTAGATTCCAGGTATGAAAAAAATTCAAAATACACAACTAGCTGAAAGGTATGTTTTTTTCTAGTGAATAATTATTATGAACAGTAAAAAATCAGAGTGATTTAGTGTGCTCCCCTAAATATACTTCCTGTATAGGTTAAAAGTATCAATGTTGGTATTTATTTATTCACTTGGTTTTGGACCGACACCAACATTTGCAGTATTGCACAGGAAAGATGGTGAAAAATCAGAATATCATCCAAAAATGGGCGTCATGTTTGCATGCCCTATGTTATTTCCATCCATCCCGAGGCTGTTAAGACATTTCACTGAAAAGCACAGACGTCGTCCTCACAGTGGAAAAAGTCAGGGGATCAGAAACCTCACAGGGATTCATTGTCTTTGAAGCAAACACACCAGACCACACTGCAATCCCTCAAAACCTGTGAGGCTGCCACCGTGGCTCAAAATGTTAACCAGCTGAAAAGGAAATGCAAACACTTTAAAGGTAATCTCTGCGCTCCATAAATAGTTTCCCCAGCTGTTAAAGTCAAGCGAGATGCTACTGTCCCTCACACTTTTCATGCACGTGAGATTTGGTAAATCTCAAACCGAAACAGAGGGGGTGGAGACAGTGGGCAGGTGAGGGTGGGGTTAATCACCCTTTGTCCCAGTGGCCTGGTTTTTCATGGAGGAACTAAAACAAAACAACAAAACATTTCTTGTGTCTAATCTGCTGCCATTATTCAGCATTTATTTTCTTTTCAGCAACATCCCAGGCACGCTGTCTGACCCACGCTGCCCTTTACCTCCAAACAAGCACACTAACACTGCTTCAGCAGCGAGGAGTGAGCTTGGTCGTCCAAATGATGTCTCTTTTTTCTAAAACACGTAGTAATAACACAACACATCACGCTGCATGAGGCCGAGAGCAGCAGTGGCTCCAAACAGGAACCACAGGCCCTTCACAAGTCAAGTCTCTGGGGACTTGCTAGAGCAACACTTATTGGCTTGTATATACTTCGCGCTCGTTTTAATCAAATTCTCCCTCAAGAGCAAAGCAGGAGAAAATACGGGAGAGTAGAGGGAGTGGGGGGGAGGAGGTGTAATTACTTCCATGTTAAAACAACACCGGGTCTGGTGGTGGTGATCGCATTTAATGACACTCTTACATAACTTACAAGACAACTTTCTTTTGAAAAAAACTTTTTTCTTGCATCAAAATCAGAGCCTCAGAGGCTCTGTGAAGAGCGAGGGGGAGGGCGTGTTCAGCGTTGGCCATTAAACCTCCAATGCTGCTTTACTGGGAACCTTTTGGTAGTGGGATAAAATTCGAGCTGGGAAGCCTGAGCTTTGTTTGTGGCAGAAGCTGTAGCTGTTTGACTGATAGCGACCTGAATATCTGATACGTTATTTTTAATTTTTTTTGTCTCATTGCCTAAATTAAGTAGGGAATGTCTACAATCTAGCCTTTAGACTGCCTTTATTATCCACTTTAAGTTGACTTCCTTTAAAGCAGGAAGAGGTCAGTGATGATCTCTGCTGCCAGAATCCAAACTTCTGTTTAGCAGATGGGACAAAGTGACACATCCCCGTGCACAGCAAACCAGCAATACACTAATTTAGCTTTGGCAAGTGGTTCTAACCTTATGTGTCTGTGTTTGTGTGTTTGAGAGTACGAACTGCTGCACGGCCATAGAGGTGGAGGAAGAGATGGAGGAAGAGGTCAGGAAAACCGCGGCACCCAAAGTGAGGAGAACAAAGTGTCGCAGAGATCCAGGCCCCGGCCGCAGGAATTCTGGGACAAGTGACCTATACTTTACATGCAGCCCAGCCAGCCGTGCACAGAGCTCTACCATCATCACGGCATAATAACACAGCAGGCTTTTTTTTCTTCCCCTTAGAGGAGAGCACAGGAGGTTAAAACAAAAATCAGGGAAAGGCTGTTTAAACAAAGACTAACTGAGAAAGCAAAGAGAACTGTCAAAAACAACTGAGCGCTTTTGACATTTTCCAATTATATAATAACACTCGAGCATTATAAGCACCAAGTTATAGATCTGGACGGTCTGACGGGCAAATTTGCAACCACTCAAATTCATCCCTATAATCTAAGTGCAATATCCATTTGCCATTGCGCACAGCCTTCCTGGTGATGCGAGCGAAATTGCAAACACAAATGCAGGCTGTGCCATCTGTCCGACTATAGGTTGTAATCATAAGCTTTGCTGTGCCGTGGGCCATTTTTCATTTGTTTTGCGGTTTTTAAAGATGGGGGCAGCTAAAGATCGTCTGGTTCGGAAAACCGCTTCTGCTGCTTTGCTCTCAGGTCTCTGTGCCAGCAGTTAAAACTCCCATTTTTTCCAGACTGTGCCAGTTTTTGTTTTTTTTGTTTTCAACTCTGTTTAATCTACACTTTCAGCTTTAACTGTGTAGCAGCCACATAAATCATAAAAAACAAGGTCACATCTGCTGCACTTGTACAGCCACTGTGGGTGTGTTTGTGCGTCTGAGTCAACCTTGTCTGTAAGGAATGCGTTGCTTTTTCCTTTGTTTTTTGGTGGGGGGGGGTTGCTTAAACACTGAAATTGACTGAAAATGGTATCTCTTCTTCTCCGTCACACCCACCGTGTCCCATCGCATGTAGGTGAATGAGGCACCTCGGGATAAATCTGGCTGAACTAATGCCTCTGTGCAGCCACCTGTCACTGCCGCATGCAAAGCAGAGAGCAAAAAATACAGTGGGAAGCTTTATTCAGTGTATTTGGGACTTCAGGGAGGTGGGGTGTCCGTTTGTGCGTAGACTTCTCAGCAGAGAAGTTCCGTTTCAGAGATTTCCTCAAGCTGGTGGAGATCCAAAGCCTTCCTCTGTGGCACTTTAGTGTCAGAGTGCCCACATTTACGAGTCATCAGGGGCGTTTAGAGAAGTTGGTGTGAGGCGGGATGCCATAATAGGACGTGTGATGGAATGTAATTTACTTAGGTACTTTGCTGAAGCACACTTTTTCTCAGGTTTTGCAGTTGAAACTGAAGACCCCACCAGTGAGAAGCAGGTATAACTACTTCAATTCAGCCTTGAGGTGTTTGATGTTGTAAAGTAAAGACCCTACAATGATAAAGTGAAAACCACGACAATTAAATTACCCCCTATTAGCAAGGCTTTGAGCAACAGTGGAAAGGAAAAACTCCCTTTTAACAGGAAGAAACCAATGGCAGAGCCAGGCTCAGGGAGGGGTGTGACCGGTTGGAGGTGATGGAAGGAAAACAGGACAAAACACGCTGTGGAAGAGAGTCAGAGTGATAACAACTAATGATTTTATGCAAATGGTGTATAAACACAAAGTGAATGAAAAAAGGGGTGTGACTAAGAAACAGAGTGCATCATGGGAAGCTTCGAGCAGCTTATATCTATGGCAGCCTAACTAAGGGAGGATTCAGGGTCATCTGATCCAGCCCTAACTATATGCTTTATCAAAAAGGAAGTTTTAAGCCTAATCTTAAAAGTAGAGACAACATCTGTCTCCTGAATCCAAACTGGGAGCTGGTTACACTGAAGAGGGGGCCTGAAAGCTGAAGGCTCTCCCTCCCATTCTACTTTTATTTTTCTAGGAATCACGAGTGGGCCCGCAGTGTGAAAAAACAGAACTTAAAAAAGCATATTCACTGAAAATTGCAAAATGAGCTAAAGGTGCTGCTCAGTATACGCAGGAAAAAGAGAAGCGTAAAGACTAAATGTGCCCAGAGAGGTTGACTGGGACATGAGACACAGGTGGTGAGGGCAGACATGATGGAAATGAGTGAAAGAAACAAAGACCAGAAATTTAAAAAACAAACAAACACAGAAAACAAAATTTCAAAGTATAACAGAAAATAACTGATAGTTTCTAAACAAAAAGGACCACGACAGTTTTAATGTACTTGTATCTACTCAGCAGTATATTATTGATCAGTAAATAATGGGACAGACACTTACATGTAATCAGTGAATCATTATGATGTCATAATGTGATATATATGATTCTGAAAAGGGCTATTCTGCATAAGTTAACTTTGGATGTAATTTAACTATTAAGCATATTTGTGATTCCAAATAACTAAATTGTGCCACATTTTCTCCTTTTTAAAAAACAACAACACTGTATTCATTTGTAATCAAACACAATGTTTTCCCCTCCTCTTGTTTTTGGTACCCTATGCCACCCCGATTTTTAAAATCCCGGAAACGCCCCTGTTAATCAATGTGAACCAAGTGAAGTCCCCTGCTTCAGGAAGCTCCGCGCTTCAAGGCGAACACTTTATTTCAAACCCAGCGAGTTGTGCTTCCATGTGTTCTTTAAATAGCCCCTGGTGGATGGTGGCTCTGGAAGTTTACTTACAGGAGGCTTGAGCATAAAACCAGCATGCGTAAACTGAATGGAGTACACATGTTCACCTATAAGTGTGTTTGAGTCAAAACATTAAAATAAATAAATAAATAGATAAATAGATAAATAAATAAATAAATAAATAAATAAATAAATAGCTCCTCAGTGACATCGTTAGTTGTCCCTAAGTCCAAAGTCATCTCCTAGCTTTGTGTGCAGCATGACTTGTTTACTACCCTGTTAATCCTACCTTGTGCGGAGCTTTGAGGAGCCGGTGGACTCCTGCGAGCTGGTTGATGAGGGGGATATCCTCTCTGAAGGAGTACAGGGGGGGTCTGGTCGGCTCTGGAAAGTTGGTGCTGTTGAAAGGATCGGTATCATCTAAAAACTGAACCCTGCAGACAAACGTGGCCATGGTGCATCCATGCAAGTGGCTCCTCTGTGAGGGCAGCCCGGCTTAATGAGAAGCGGAGCAGCTTTCTCTCCTGGTAACGACAACAAACCGCGGTCTCCAAGCAGCGCAGCAGCCTGTCCTCCCGCAGGACGGAGTGGATGGCACAGAGCGGTCCTCGCTTTGGTTCTGCTCCCTGAGCCTCCTCCTGCTGCCGCTGTGTTATTCTCGGAGAGGCAGGTGTCTGCAGGCGGACTTCAGCTCGGTGCCGGAGAGTGAAGGATCAGCGCAGCTTGGGACAGCCGGTCTGCTGTCTGTCTGAGTCCCAGTAAATCCACCCCCACCCCTCCGGTGTCTATTTTCCCCTCAGCCTCATCTCACCCTCCTCCCCCTCCTCAGATCACTGTCTCCGACTTAGCTGTGGCTTTCTATCTGAAGAGGAACGACACTAATCCTGTGGTACGTTTATGTAGACCAATGCAAATATTGAAATAATAATGCATGACCCAGAAGACCTTAGAAATATTACAGAAGAAGCAAACCACCGGCTGAATACAGAGAAGTACATATATAAATACATACAAGAAGGAATGTAATTTCCTTCCTGAGAGTTTACTTTACTTTATTTCAATACTGTGACACCTTTATTGAATAATGTATCAAATGAAACGATACAGGAGTCTACAGTGAAAAGTGTGTTTGATGGAGTTTGAGGTTAGAAAACAATTCAGGTCAATTGTGACCTCTTTTGGCCAAACGCAGAATTGCAAGTGAAGACGTCTTGACACCTGCAATAGACAAACAGCTACCGCAGCTCTACTTTCTTCTCCTCAGGTTGCCTACCGATTACAGCACCTCATGGCCGTAAACTGGAGAAATGATTTTAAAAATGGATGAATATAATCCAGACTAGTCTCATTTTTATTTGTTTATTTAATATATTAACAATTTGACATTGGAGCTGCATTATTAACCCCTATGTGGACTTACAACTACAAGGTTATTCAATTCATTTAAATGGTAATCAGCCTTTTGAGAAATACTTCAGTTTAGATGAGGTGCGTGGAGGGGTCAGTGGTTATCGGCTGCTGGTAATTTTAAGTGGGGTCATGAAATAGGAGACAAATTATACCTCACAGCTCCACGTCGTTTTGTATGCGTGTGGACAAGGCCTCAAACCTGAAACACCCATGCACATTTACAGATATGTTTTGTGGGTTTTTTTTATGATAGGCTAATGGCAGAGAAGGCCACCTGCTATTTACACCAGGCCTCAAGGGTCGGTGTCCTGCAGATTTTAGATATCACCCTGGGTCAACACACCTGGATCAAATGATGAGTTCATTACCAGGCCTCTGGAGAACTTAAAGACATATTGAGGAGGTAATTTAGCCATTTGAATCAGCTGTGTTGGATCAAGGTTACATCTAAAGCCTGCCACCAGCCCTTGAGGCCTGGAGTTCCCCCACCCTTGATTTACAGGGTTTCCCGTTTTTATCCCCGGCTGTTTTTATTCACATCTCTAACTATAGGCAGGACAATGGAGGCCTCTTGCATAGATGATCAGGTAAGTGCGTCAGGCTACAGTCACACTAAACAAAACGATGGTTTGAGACCACATAGTGCAACCAAAATTATTGCCACCATGTGCACCTCACAATGAAAACTAGTTGCCCTGAGGTTGAGGGTGCTGTAAGCTCAGCCTCTGGGTGGCCTTTTGATTGCTGCAACCACGAGCAATTGATCTTAGACAGCAAGAAAATTCAGTGCAGTCAGTCACCGACCAGAGGTTTTCCTCAACGTCAACCTTTTTTTCCTCTGATCTGACTGGAACCTTAAAGTGGACCTCTTAATGTTTCCCTTATTCTCTACCATTTATCTGCCATCGCTCATATTAAACAATAAGTTCCAAACACTGAGAATTGTGTAAGTGATCCATGAGAGCCAAAAGCTGAGGGCGCACACTGCTCTGTCGCAACAAGGCCCTTTATAAATGGAAATATAACCAATTAACTCATGCAGTCACAGATGAACTTAACAGATAGAGTTGTATATAACAGATTTGAGCATAAGTTTGCTACCACAGTGAGTGGGTGACATATCACCAGTGTCTTAGTCTGTTTAACACACCTGTCACCTGTGTACACCGCAAGCACTGTAGTGCAGTGGGCAAAATACCTCTTTATTACCACCAGAGGGCAGAAGGCCAGTCTCTTTATTTTTTTTTTCTTTTGTTTTAACTGCGAATGAAACAGTGAAAAAGTAGAAGGACATTCAGGAGCCACTTCCACGCTGGGATATACAGTACTTTCCAGAGTCTAAAGTACCACAAAGGAGAGATAAAGGAAAATAAATATCAAGAACAATTATGCAAAACACACGTTTGTGTTATAGCAGCGACCCCAAGTGGTCTAATGAAGCTGTGCCGCTTGTGCTTCCTCAAAACAGGGTCCCAAGTCCATGTTCAAGGTTGGTGATAGATTCTAACTGCTCTACTGTGTGATGCAATCACAGACAACCACCAATCACAGCAAAGCACTGAGTCTATGTACGGGGCCATATACCGAGCGGTGACCTCCTGTTTGTCGCTGAACTGGTTTGACAGACACATTTCTACAAAACAAAAGAATAAATTACAATTTGAAAAATCAAATCCAACCAAGAAAAATCCAAATATGACAATCTGATTTAAAGTTTACATGCAGAAACACTCATCTAGTTGCCACGCACCGATGGCACCATAGTGCTCGAAGGCCAGACTGTGCTCCACCTCTTCAACAAATAAACATATGACACTCAAAGGCAGCTTCCTCAGCAGAGATAAGACTCCACGCAGCATACATCTTATGTTGATTACTGGTTGTAAATAAAGCATAAAGGGCAAAAAGAGTTTCCCACACGCATCGAAAATCACAATTTTACGCTTGTTATCTTATCTGTATTCTTGGTACATCAGGATTAGGAAACATTACCTTGTCTAAATGTGGGCTTGATCACCTCCCAACCACGCCTTTACACCGTGCATGAAAGTCATCATGAATAAGATCATTTGCAGCACCTTAGTCATTGGGTGGATGCCATTAGCTGCTGGTTATAATACAATCTTTTTGATCAAAATTGTACAACTAAAATTTTATATATATATATATATATATATATATGTGTGTGTGTGTGTGTGTGTGTGTGTGTATATATATATATAGAGAGAGAGAGTACTGTATAATAGATAGATAGATAGATATAATAGCTTAGCAAAGCTAATTTGCCTACTTTGAAACAGAGTAGCCATAAAACAAAGCTCTACTTTTAATCTGACCTGCATTTAGTGAAATCAGTAAAAGTCAAAATACAATACTTTGATAATAACAAAAACATGCACTTTATTAATAGCCTTAGAAATAATAAAGGTTTAAAATTAATGGCCCAGTTTCAATTCATTTAGACTAAAATCTGGCTGAAGGTTGGAGCCATTCGTGTGCAGTATATAAATAGCTGCCTATGGACCTGCACAAGTGTCTATACAAGGGGCTGAATTTGTAAGTTTGTTTGCTTACAAAGAAATGAACAGTCTCTAATTTTTATGATAGTTTTATTTTAAAAGAGAGAGACAGAATATCAACCAACACATTACATGAAAGTTCCTCTTGGCTGCTGCTGGGCAACTCAAAGTTTCGGCTCCTTCCACACATTTCCTGTAGGACAGAGGCCTGAAGACTGGTAAGGCCAGTACATGACCTTAATGTGCTTCTTCTGCAGACACTGTTTTGTTGTTTTTGAGATATTTTTTCAGTCATTGTCATCCCAGAAGACCCTTCTTTGAGCTGGTTGTAGGAAGGTGTTTCTCAACCAAGATTTTACAGTACACGGCCCCATACCTTGGCCCCTCAGTCTTGTCTGTTTTGATAGAGAGAGGTTGAAATGGAAGAAACAGATCCTATATGCTTCATACATATAATGAGTTGAGATCTATCTGTAATTAATCGATTGATTGTAGAATGTCACAGAATTCTGCTGTGGTGAGCTAGAATTCTGTGACATTCAAATCAATGTGTAACCTCTATGTAATGTGTTTTTTCTGTATTTTTAGTTATTCTGTCAATCTCAATTAAAATGAAACCACCATAGAAATGAAGAACTCTTCATTGTTTTGCAATGGGGCAAACTTACAGATATAACAGGGGATGAAAGAACTATTCCCCCCACCTCCCATCTCTATACAAATATGTGCATTTCAAACTGTTATACATATGGATGCCACTGTATTGAATCAAAAATACATTAAGAGGATGAACAAACAGAAAGGGATGTCATGTACCGAATACAATGTGTGTATTTATTGTTTCTTTTGTGTGTCTTTTTTTTTCAGATCAGAAAACGCAACAAGTGAAATTTAAGACAGCTCACTAACTGACCCTCGCTGTTTTTTTCACCTGGCATAACAAAACTGCTCAGGGTTTGCAGATTCGTGCTGGCTGACAGATTCTCGAGTGACCTTTGAATGCATCGCTTGAGCAGGCATTGCAGAATTTTTAAAGGTCCACTGAATCTAGCCGGGCTGATACTTTCCCTGAAAACGATCATTGCTTTCTGGTAATGCCTGACTCTGTATGGATGTCTTTGGTTCTGTGAAGTGTCCCCCTGTGTCAGCATTGTTACATAAACGCACGCTCCATTTGACAGTCTGGGTATGCAACTACTTTTATTACACAATCACTTTGATCCCTTCAGCTGAAGTAAACTGAGTGACAAAGCCAGTATGCAGGGATGTTGTAGTTTTCCATATAAAGGACTATGGGTTAAAATTGATTTACTTCCAATCTGCTGCCTGTAGTCACACATATGCAGTTCTCAGTTATTTACCAATAGCGCTAAGCTCTGAAGAACGGAGGTTTTTTTATCTGAAATGGTAACCTCTCATCCTGTTCCTTGAAGACGACATGAGTGTGTGCAAACTATGCAAACACACTGATGGCCAATCCAGCAGGACCTGGAATTGCACAGACACCTATAAAGAAGCGGAACATGGGGCCAGTGGCAGAGTGGAGATCTTCTCTATGTGCTTTCATGGCTTCACTCCAGCTTCCTCGTGCAGTCCAAAGACATGCGTGTTAGGGTCACTGGTAATTCTACACCAAGAGTTTAAACAAAAATAGACAAACTGTAAGGAAATAAAGGTGATTATGATTGTTGACTGATGGTCTGATAAACAGTATTTGCACCATAAACTCCAAATACACTGAATTGGATTTTTCAAAGGAATCATTATCCAGTATAATCTATCGCCGTAAATTATCACATGGAAACTGCATGAACCT